ACTGCCGCAGCTGGCGGCTCGTCCACATGGCTGCGGAGCTGTGCGATGAGGGAGCGGATCTTGTTGCCAGGAAGGTTGGGGGCTCTCAGGTTCTGAACGAGACTAGCATCCGCCTTGGAGGCTTCAATGGTCGCGATTGCCATATCGAGGGCCGCCAGCGTCGCATTGAAGTCTGTGCATGGACAGCATAGGTAGATGCATGTCATGGATTCAGCACTTGGGTGCGCCAGGTTACCTACCGGCACTGTTGGCATTGAATTGTGCGTTCTCCTCTGTTCGGACGGCCGTCGCGTTGTCCTTGGCGGCCTGTTTCTCGTCTCGCACCTTGACGAGCTCATCGATATCGGCAGCCAGCACATCGATAGATGTGGTCAGCTCCTGGACCAGGGCGGCCAACCGAGCTTTCTTGTCCCTGGAAAAGAGACGACAGATGCAGATCACCGCTGTCGAGGGCGATCTGATCCTTATCCACATACCTGTACGTTGTAATGTCCCTCTTGCCTTCCACGATGCTGCGTTGGCATGAGGGTGCTGTTTCCTTCCATGTCAGCTCTGTGCTCTCTCGGGCCTTCACAGATGACTTCTTCAGCTGCACACAACGCACATTGCAGCACCGGTATTCGGTGGCATTACAGATCTGTGCTTCCCACATTCGCATACGTTCTGTATGAGTGTGATGACATTGCCCACTGGATGGTCGTCGCCGCTGACGGTGCGCTCACGCAGCGCTGCAGCCGATGACGCTGCAGCGAGAGCCGCGAAAAGAAAGATCATCTCCAACGCGTCTGTTTACAAATCATGCCAAAGGTAAACACGCGAGTTTGGCGTTCCCGATGTGGCCGCCTCTTTGGTGGATCCTTGCAGTGGGCGCCTTCTCGACGTCAGCAGCAGCCCCACTCTTCAATGCAATCGAGGACAAGAGCTTCTTCGACGTGAGTGATGCATGGATGCACACGTGCTGTGTCGCAGTGCCCTGTGTTTGTGGTTGTTGTGTGCAGACATGCTTTGCCATTATCTCAGCCCACGACCAGACCAAGATGCCCGGCACACAATTCTCGCCTGACTCCTTGACCACGGTGCAGTCGACTTGTCTAAAGTTCCTCGGCGAGCAAGGCATGGAGAATCCTGTGGAGGCGCTTGATGATTGCGCGCGGTTCAAAACGATTGCGTTTGAAGCTTTCGACAAGCCGGGCGGCCTGGCAGAGGATCGCCTGCTGCCAGCTGGAGGCGGTCTGCCCACTGGAGTGGCGTTCTGCGGTGCTCTGACGGTCAACGACTCGTATCTGACCAAGACTGAACTGATCGACTACATCCCGGGTCGGCTGCTGAGAGCGTCCTGCCTGGCCAGCATCAATTTCGCTCTGATGGAGGCAAAAGAGGCGGGGGGAAAGGCAGACGTGAAGGATGCTGGCTTTCTGAACAACCTCGAGTTCGCCTGCCAGAATGAGCTCGGGGCCATCTTCAAGGACAGAGGAATGGTATGCCATCGCTGCAGACAAAATCTGTGGTGCTGCTTTTACCTGTTTTTCCCTCTTGCAGCCATCCGAGACTGTACTGAGTCCTGCGTGCAAGGACTTCAAATCAAAGGCGGAAGCAGCCATTGCATCCGGCAGTTTTGGTGGAGAGGCTGGGGCGGTCGGTGTCGACTTCTGCGACGGCAAGTCCTCGCCCGAGCCCGCATTCGCCAAGTCGGGGGTTGCGAGCGATCCTGACGACGTGGCAACTGAGGAGAAGACGAACTCAACAGGTGAGACACTGGACTGATACAGCAACCCTCCTTGGTCTCAGTCGACGTGCAGGAGCTGAGACATCGAGTGTACAAGCGTCTGCAGAATCCCGAGGCAGCCTTCGCAACCTTTGACGCAGACAAGGACGACAAAATCTCACCTGACGAATGGACAGCCGGTAAGATACCACATGGCCGGCCACTTGAATACGTGTGTGTCGACCCGTGGATGGCTGCAGGCATGAGGCAGCTCGGAGTGAACGACCAGGACGCAGCCAAGCTCTTCAAGGACATTGACACATCCAAGAAGGGGTATGCAACAGCCAACACACACAGCACGCCGAACGCCACACTCGTCCATCAGCGATGTCGTCGATCAGGTTTGTGTCTCGCGAGGAGTTCTACCGGGCGATGGGATTCTCGGGCAGTCAACACCGCGACGAAGATGGTACACAAGGTATCGCAAGAAATAAGTTCAGACAGCCAGCCGAGAATGCCTGCCTGCTCTGCTCTGCGTACAGTAACATTGGATGAGTTGCGCGCCCGCATCGTCAGAGCCTTCCAGTCGCTCAAGGCTGCCTTCGACTTGTGGGACCAGGACAAAGACACCCACCTGACCGCCGACGAGTGTAAGGCCGGTAGGGAGATCCAGCAGACAGACACGCATACAGACAGACAGGGGAAGGGAGGCACATCCATTTGTCCCTCTCATGTCTGTGTGCAGGCACCCAGCATCTGTCGATTGGGACGGAAAAGGCGGTCGAGCTGCTCAAACAGGTGGACGCCAATGGGGACGGCAAAGCCAGCAGAGACGAATACACAAATGCGCTTGGAGGTGGGCAGGCACTGGAAACTAACAGGAAATATCTATCCCCTGCCATCCCACATTGTATGCACAAGCTCTGTGTGTGTATGAGATGCAGTTGACCTCGAGGGCCTCCGCATTCGTGTGCACGACGCCTTCGACAATGCACTGGACGCCTTCCACAAGGCAGATAAGGTACACAATCGAGGCGACCCGATGCCCCTGGCCCTCTCATGTGCCCTTTTCAGAATGGCGACGGCGCCCTCGACGAGAGTGAGTTCATCAAGCACGTAGAAGAAGTGGGCGTCTCATCGGAGGCCAATGCAAAGTGAGTCGGCAACGGGCGCCAACTTGTCACGAACAGATGCTTTGCGCCTTTTTCCGCCTCCTGCAGGGAGTTGTTTGCCGGGCTTGACGTCAATCGTGACGGCAAAGTAGATGAGATGGAGTACATGGAGTCCTTGGGCGGTGAGACACACACATAGAGACACGAGGGGAAGGCCGGAAGGAATGACTTGCCCCGCTGTGTTTTCAGCCACGCTGGGTGATCTGCTCAAGAAGGTCAACAAGGCCTACAAAGACTGGAATGAAGCCTTCACAAAAGTAAGAACACACAGACACGAGACGGAGGGAGATACACAGCCGCGATTTCGTGTGTCAAATGCAGTTCGACAAGAACAAAGATGACCATCTGTCCATCGAGGAATTTGGACGCTTCGTCGCATCCATAGGGCTGCCCACAAGCTCACTACCCGGCATCTTCAAAGCGCTCGACAAGGTCAGACCAAGCACACACACACACACACATTAATCCCAATTGCTCCACATGTTGTGCTGCGCAACAGAGCGGTGATGAGCAGATCGACCGCACAGAGTTCTCAAATGCTCTGGGGGTTGACGAGAGAGAGCTCAAGCGACGTCTGTACCTGCACATGGACAACCCCAAAGACGCGTTCGCTGCGATGGACACAAACATGGTGACTGACGCCTTCTGCCTGAAATGACGGATGGACCCCATATGCGGACTTTCGCTCACTGCTTTGTTACAGGATGGTCTTCTGGGCGTGGGCGAGTTTGTCGCTGGGGCGACGGGCAAGTTGGGCCTCTCAGAGGGGGACGCCAAGTGGGGAGGAGACACGATCGACGCGTGGGGCTTTGCCCTACTCTCCTTGTCGCATCTGTAACATTCCTAGGCGGCTGTTCGGAAGCATGGACACCGCAAGAGATGGCTCCCTGAGCGAAGACGAGTTCTACAAGGTACGTACAGCAGGCCACGCAGTTTTCCATATCTGATCTCTCTGCCTGCCCTTCCCTGTCTGTCTGTGCTGCAGGCTGTCGGCTACATAGAGATGCACACTCCCAGCCCTCCTCTCCTCCCCCGCCAACCCCACCGACAAAGGACAACATCCAGCCACACCCCCACACACAAACAGAAGACAAGCAGCAGGCGGCCAAGCCGAAGCCGCCCACCGCTGATCAGCCTACGACAGGCACCACGACCAGCCCGCCGCAGCCGCAGCCATCCGGCGCCCTGCATCCGTGGGGGAGATGCGTCGAGCACTGTGACCACACGGCCACGTCGATCATGCAAACGGTACATGGGGTGAGGGTATCTGCACGAAAGGAAGGTTTGCGGCGAGTAGTGAGATAGGGATTCTGCGTGTCGCTGTCTGCCGGCTGTGTGTGCATGCTGGGACGGATCGCAATGTGCCAACCAATACTTCACATGATTATGCAAGCAGATCCAATCCAACCCCCATACACACGAACATCCACAAAAGAAACGGGTCCATCTCAGTACATGCAGTGCAGCCACCGTCCGTCAGCCAGGTCCCGCGGCCATATCACACGCATCTCATCTCCCGTCTACGGTCTACCTCTCTGCCGCATTCCATCTATCCATCCATTCCTCACGCTTAGCTTTGCTCCAATGGGCTATCGTCCGGCACGGTGGCTGGGTATCCCCCCTCACCCCCCGACGCCCGCACCGTCACCGACGCACCAGACACACCACCACCACCAGGGGATGGGGATGCACCTGGCTGCACGGGCGACACCCCACCGATGCTCATAGGCCCTCCTGCCCCTCCCCCTCCACCCCCCAGTGACGGCCGCTCCCCGCTAACGCCCCGCTGCAGCAGGGCCCGCTCAGCGTGCGACACGCCCGCCCGCTGCAGCTCCCTCACCTCCAGCAGGGCCTCAGCCGTCTTGATCTTGTCCGCCACGTTGCGGGAGAGGGCGTCCGATGCGGCACGCGTCGAGGACACCAACAACAGCAGCTGATCCGGCTGCTGCTGCTGCTGCTGCTGCTGCTGGGGCTCGGGGTGAGGCTGCTGGTCGGCTTCGTCATCGCTATCGACATCGCCGCCGATGAAGCCCGATGGCTGCTGGGGCTGGGGAGGGGGAGGGGCGGCGTGGCCGTCGTCCATCGGGTCCATGTCTATGTCCTCACGGCCGTGTGTGTGCTTGATGGCCTTGGATGCGATGCCCATGAAGGCGGATTTCTGGAGCTGGCAGGACTCGCTCTGCAGCTGGTTGAGCTGAACGAGCAACTCCTGACGCTCCATCTCCTTCTCCCTAAGGCGCTGCTGACACTTCTGACCCCCGTCTGGTGCCGCCTGGCCCGCTGCCGCTGCTGCCCCGCTATCGTACTCCTTCACCAACCTCTTGGTACGCTCATCAACCTGACATACACCAGCAATCCGCCCATCCATCCAGTGCACACCCAGGATCTTCACTCCATCCATCCATCCAGATACCTGCCTGACGCCATACGAGGCATACTGGTCCATGAGGCCCCTGAGCTCGTGGAACCTCTCCGAGTAGAGGCGCTGCTCGTCGACGTCGAGCTCCTCCATCATCATCTTGGCCTGCTCCTCATACACGCCCTCCGAGTCCTGCGCAGCACGCATGGCGTCTGCAAACCGCTCGGCATGGCTGTGCGGACGGGTGTGCCGACGGCTGCGGCGCCGCGTGGGGCGGCTGCCGTCCACAGAGCCGCCCGACGATGTTCTGGGAACCCTTGCCGCAGGCTGAGGGCTGCTAGGACTCCCGCGGTTGAAATTCATGACCTCACTTGACTATGCTATGGCGAAGGTACGCATCTGCCATGGTTTTATCGCTTTCGCGAGAGGAGAGCGATATGAGCTTGCAGTTTTTGAAGCGCACCGTCTTGCGGTTTGTTGCCTTCCCATCGCGTGCACGAGCCAGCCACCTCGTTTCACATCGCCCCGTTGCCTACAGTAGCATCACTACAGCGCCCCTGCACCAGCGTCTGTGAGGATGGGTGAGGACAAGAGCAAGCGCGAGGAGTACGTGTACAAGGTATGTCAAGGCCAGGCCCGCCGGCGGGCGCGCGGGCAGCCAGGCGGGGACTAGAAGAGGGAGGGGATTTGACGCAGATCAGATCACACCAGGAGATGGCGTGTGCGGTGTGTGGTGTGTCGATGTGGCAGGCCAAGCTGGCGGAGCAGGCCGAGAGATACGATGGTACGCTAAGGCCACAGGGCAGCGAGAGAGGAAAAGAGGAAGGCAGAGGCCCAGATCCGGTGTGTGGTCCCTTTCTGCTGTGTGTGGTGCGTGTGATGTGTTGTGTGCAGAGATGGCGAGTTTCATGGAGACCGTCGTCAAGATGGGCGAGGAACTGACCGTTGAGGAGCGCAACCTGCTGGTCAGCCACACCACACCACACCACAATACACTACACACACACACAGATCCACATGGGTGTGGGTAGATGAGACACGGGGCGGATGGCGGGGCAGGGCAGGGGGGCACAGATGGACATCGATAAGAGCAGACAGACACGAGTTGGCGCATCCGCATGGGTGGCATCCACTTGACCTGTCCTTGTGTGTGTGTGCGTGTATTGCATGCGCGCGCCTCGGCCACACTGTCTCCTCCCATCCCCTGCTGCAGTCCGTGGGTATGCACCGCCACAACCATGACACATCACAAGACAACACAACACACGTGTATCAGCCTGATGGCACAGCCGCCTTTGCATCTGTTTCTGTCCGTGTGTGGCGTGTGTGTTGGGCGTGTCCTGTCATGTGTGTCATGTGTTTAGCGTTCAAGAATGCGGTAGGTGCCCGTCGCGCGTCGTGGCGCATCATATCGTCGGTGGAGCAGAAGGAGAAGTCCAAGGGCAACGCGCAGAACATACCCCACACCGAGGAGTATCGCAAGAAGGTAAGTAACCCGTCGTAGGCTTGGGCAGAGAGTGACTGCATGAGTGAGGGCTCAACACACACTACACAACGGACGCACACACGGATGGATGGATGCGTTTAGGTTGAGAAGGAGCTGAATGACATCTGCAACAACATCCTGGATCTGCTGACGTCGCACCTCATCCCCGCTAGCTCATCGGTACGTCCGTCACCCACCACCACCACCCACACACATGTGCACCTGTCCATGTCCGATGGCATATCATATCCACCCCTGTGTGTGTGCGCGTGTGTGTTTAGGGCGAGAGCAAGGTGTTCTACTACAAGATGAAGGGTGACTACTACCGCTACATCAGCGAGTTCAGCCAGGACGACACCAAGACCACCGCCGCCAACAGCGCCCACGAGGCCTACAAGGAGGCCTCCACCATCGCCCAGACCGACCTCTTCCCCACACACCCCATTCGACTCGGACTCGCGCTCAACTTCTCGGGTCAGTTAGTGGGCATATTATTCCCATCAGATGACACACACACACACCAGCGAGGGAGGGAGAGGCGGAGGGCACACTGTCGTGTGTGGCATTACTGTGTTGGTGTAGTGTTTTATTACGAGATCCTGAACAACCCGGAGGAGGCGTGTAAGATGGCCCGCCAGGCGTTCGAGGACGCCATCGCCGAACTAGACAATGTCAGGTACGTTACGTTAGACGGACAAACGAAGAGACGGACATGAACGAGGCCGCACATACGCACCATGACATGACATGCACACACCTGGGCCTGCATTGAATGCATTGATCTGTGTGTGATATGTGTGATATGTTCAGTGAGGATTCGTATAAGGACAGCACGTTGATCATGCAGCTGCTGCGTGACAACCTCACCCTCTGGACCTCCGACATGGCCCCCAACGAAGAGGGTACGCACCGCAACCAACCACACTCTCACGCACAGCCGCATCCACGCGACCAAGAGCGCACAGATGAAGTGCCTGATCTGTGTGTGTGTGTGCAGGCAAGGAGGGCGAGCAGTGATCGTGCGGCGGTACCGTTTGTGGATTTTAACCCCCTCCCTCCCTCCCCACCCCTCCCCACCCCCTCTCCCCCTCCCCTCATATGCACACGCGCATGCAATGCATGACTGGCCTGTCTATCAATCCTGCCTTGCCTGCCTGTGTATACATACATACCGACAGCCCACCACGCCATACGCAGTAGTCATGTTTGAAGCACACTGGGAGAGCCACGAAGGGACTTTTCCCTTCGCAACCCATCTCCCCTCCCGCCCTCCCGCCCTTGCCTGCCCGCCCACTCTCACCCACGCGCGCCAGCATGGCACATATGGGAACGGACGATCCAGAGGTGCAGGCAGGGAGACAGGGAGGGAGGGAGGGACGGAGGGACGGATGCAGGGAGGGCGGCGGTTAGCTGGTTCCATCGCATTTGATGGCCCGCTCCCTCTCAATGATCCGCCCACCGCATGCGTATCTTCTCTCTATCCGTTTGTTTCCCCTCCTCCTTTGTTTTGTGTTCCTTGTTTTTGCTCGAAACGAATGTGCTGTCCCCTGCCTCTCACTCTCCCTACCGTTTTGGCTCTCTCTCTCTCTCTCTCTCACACACACATGTCCGCCCGTTTTGTCACCAATCCCCATGTTTGTTTGTTTGTCTGGCTGGCTGGTTGGTTTTGCGGCCATCCTCGCCCTCTTTCGGTCGTAATTCGGATGCACACACGAGTGGTACAGACAGCTTCATTTCGTTCTGTTTGTCGGTGCGTGTGTTGGCTCGCTCCTTTCGACCAGTCTCACCAGCAGTCGCCAGCCACTCTTTTGCAGTGAGAGCGGTTCGGCTACCGCTGGTCGATCTGGACGGAAGGAGAGAGCCAAGACAGACACTACAGATGCGCAACACAGCCTTTCACTCCAAGAGGCCAATTGTTGCTCGTGCACTGCACGTGTGGGTGAGTGAATGGGATGGGTGGGAGAGAGGTGGGTATAGAGGCGACGTACGGACCAACCAACCAACCAATGCATTGGAGTACGGATACCTACGGCCATGCATACCGACTGACCAGGGGGGTGGGATGGGCCACACACGCCACACACATGACTGCTCTAGAAGACGACGCCCGTAGGTAAGTAATCGGGGAACACTACGCTCACTGCGTGGACAGACAGGTGGGGGGATGGGGGGATGGGTTGGCCATGGTAGCTCACTGAATAAAGTGAGACGCTTGATCTTTCTGTATGTAACGCGCAGAGCAGAGAGAACCTGTAGCTGGCCGCTGGATGGATGGATGGCTGGACAGCTGGGGGGTGGGTGGACTTCGAGTGCTGGCATGCTGGCACACCGTGTGCCGATCGAGCCTGCCTCGATCGCGACCTTGCCAAATTGCGTCCTGCTTCTTAGTTTTCAATGCATCATGGGATGGATGTGTCTGTCTGTCTGTCTGTCTGTTCGGCACTCGTTTTGATGAATGGGTCGGGTGAGTCTTTGGCCACCGCCCCCTTTGCCTCTGGTAGTGCTGCCTGTCTGTCTGTCTGTCAATACGAAACACAACACTCACTGCGGTTCCAGCCGAGCTGGCTCTCCACTGACGCGTCCACCCTTGATATCGACCCATCCATCCCTCCATCGACGCGTCTTTCCGATAGATGCCGTCTGTCTGCCTGCCTGCCTACCGGCCGGACGGGACACTCTCTCTCTCTGTATGTGCGTGTGCGTACCTATCAGTGTGTGTGTATGGATGTGTGTGGACACGTACGTACCGTGCCGTGCATGGCATGCTGTGGTGGTGATTAGCTAGCCTTTGAATCAAATCAGGGCCGACATTACTGTCCGACCACTTGGCCAGACCTTCCCCCCCCCCCCCCCCCCCCCCCC